TTCTTTGCTTATCTAGCCTGTAATAAAGCATGGATCTGTCTGTGAGCTGGATCTAACAACAGGCCCGTAGGAGCTGATATGGTCTCCTGTCTGCTCCTTAGGAGACACAAGCAGCTTGAGCAGTCCACGCTCCCCAAAAAGGCCTCCCACTACGACCTGAACTATTGCATTGCGATGGGAAAAGGCAGAACTCGGAGCATCTACCTTCTAGGAATGCTACCCGATATGCCTGTACAGGCAGCTGGGGAAGCAGTTGCGGAGGAGAAAGGTGTCCCCAAGCTAGGATCCAGTCTATATGGCTGACTGGGTTGGATCACCTTGAGATCAGTTAGGCAAGAATCCAATCACAAAGGACAAATAAGGCATTCAGGGTATGATCTGCGTAAAAATGTGTCAGCCTCAGAGTTGATATGACATGGGTTTATAAATGCAAAGCCAAGAGGCTGAAAAAACCCCAAGCACTTACACACGTCATCTGTCCACCAATGTAACATTTCAGGTCAGGTCCTCAGAAGGTGGTGATGGAAACCCTTGTGTACACAAACACCCCCCACGCTTTGTGATTCACAGGCAAATCTAGGCTAAGTGTGAGAGAGTGAAATTCCATCGGAAACAAATTACTTAAGCTAAACTGGTGCTGAACTGCCACTTACAATCATTAGAGTCTGGATTAAACTAATCCTTGGTGTAATTTACTTTCTAATACAGAGAACGTTGATCTGTACACATATTCTCCAAAGAGATGACCTGACCTCTTGAAGACCAGAGATGACCTGGTCCATATGCAGTGTTCCAAATAAAACTTCTCTGAGCTTTGCCCGTGCGAGGCCTCTACAGTCATCAGTTTGCAATACGTGTAATGATGAACAGAACTGAACCATTGGGAACCTGACGTACTTCTACGTGCTCTTTAGTCTTTTGGGTCTGACTTACCATTGCAGCAAGTTTTCCACAATTTAACTGAGTTTATGTTTCAGAACTTAAAATACAGACGTTAGTTCTTGGCATGTTTCATGGTGACTATCCCCGCCTGCTTAAACTCAGTGGTTTGCTACTTGAAAAGTCTGGAGTGAGTCGTCATGTTATTCCAGAATTCCGTTTCTCAACGTTCCACTTCTCTCCAGAGAAAGCCGCTGAAGATCCTTCCTAATATCAGGATGATCTTCCAGCTCTTCATATAACGATCGAACAATGTCCAGTTTCCTGTAGTCCATCGGTTTGACCAGACTGCGAACAACCTGGAGACATCTCTCTTTCAGGGTGAACACTGAGGTTAAAAACAAACACACACATACGACCTCGTCACAAGGGCTCTCGTTAGCTGCTGCCTCCATCACAGAGAGCACTTCTCCAAGTACGCAAATACAGAACGTAACGCACGGCGGCGTTACTCAAAACGCGCTAGACTCGCTAGAAAGAGAGGAAAAGGACTTGCCGTGCCCTGTCTGGAGGCACCTTATGAAACCCATCAGAGACATCTTGAAAACGAGAGGTCTGGCAACAGTTCTATTCAACACAACCGCAACGCTCTATCTAGAAACCCTCACCATCTCTTCCTGGTTTTGAGGCAGGTTTTATTACTCGAGCGCTCAATCTCTCTCCAGGTCCTCACGCTGCAGTCCACAGCGATCAAGTACGAAACCTGACGCTTCCCACGGCACACGCGGGCCCGTCTGTTTACCTGGCAGGGTGATGTCTGCTGTGTTCACGTTGGGAGCCGCCACGAACAGCTCCTGCTGGTTGACGAGGAGCCCGTCGTTCGTCCCCGCGTCCCGGAACAGCCAGAGGTGACCTGCGAGAGAGAAAACACGGCGGCGGCGCAGCCGTTACCGCGCTCGTTACCCGGCGGTCTGGCGGGGCAGCGGAAGGAACCCAGCGGTTCGGGGGATGTCACCGAGCAGGGGTGCGGCCAGGGAAGCCAAGCGGGGCCGCCTGCTGGCCTCCGCGGCCGAGCCGCCCTGTCACGGAGGGCGGGCTGCTGCTTCCCGCAGAGCCGCTCGCAGCTGGCCGGGGAGGCCCGGGGGAGGCCCG